GACCGACCTGGTTAACTTCCTTCCTCATGATGAAGAACACTGTGTCCAGAAACTCCACCCCCTTAGAGATGTAGTACCACCATAGCGCTGACGCTATCTGCAGAAACACCGCCGGTATCAGTGATGATATCTATCTATCTATCTATCTATCTATCTATCTGTATGTCTGTCATTAGATCTATCATTCTATCATTTGTTCTGTCATTTTATGTTCTAATTTCTTTCTTTCTTTCTTTGTGAGGTATTTCTTCCACCACAGGTACTTCTGGATCTTTGGGCCAAACGCTGCCAAGCCATAGTAGCCATACATCAGCACATGAATGCCTGAATTAATCATAGCGCCAAAGAAAGCTGTGAAGAGGGAAGGAGATTTAGTTGGATATAACATCAAAAATATGTTGGTCCAACAAAATATTGAGTTCTAGGACTGTTAATGAATGGTAAGGTCATGGTGTATTTTTCTGGGACAATGACACTGTTTCATGGAAATTAATTTTCGTACAGAAACAGTCACATTCATGTGGACATTTTTCAAAAGACACAAAAATCCTTTCCGCTCGAGTTTCATGAATGAAGCAAATTCCTTCAAGATGCCATTCAGTTCACGCTTTATTGCTTAAGTGAACACTATTAAAGATCAAGCACTGAATATGAAATGTTCTGGATGTGTGTACCAACATTTGTGACCATCTGACCATCTGTATACCCTTCCAAACCCTTTGACCCCTTCCACATCCCCCTAAGCTCTCCTAACCTTTCCTCCCTTTTCCTCAAATCTCCTCATCCTTCTGTTGTTGGGTCTTTCCTTGTTCAAGCCTCAAAATGCACAACAATTATAAGTGGAGAAGTTCTTGACAATGGTTCTCAACCTTTATCATTTCAGATGATCCACCTTAATTTCCTCACACTGGTGTTAATGCAACATATGAGCAAAACGAGAAATACATGAACTCATAAAATGTATACTTTGCAAATTAAAGGGATAATTCACTCAAACATGAAAACTGTCATCATTTACTCACCCTTAAATTGTTCCAAACCTGTATGATTTTCTTTCTTCTGTTAAACACAAAAGAAGATATTTGAAAATTGTTGGTAACCAAACTGTTGTTGGTCCCCATTGACTTCCATAGTATGGAAAGAAATACTATGGAAGTCAAGGGACTAGAAACCCACCTTCAAATGATGACAGAATTTTCATTTTTGGGTGAACTACCCGTTAAGTAGCTTTGGATAAAAGCATGAAAAACACAAAAACATGATGTCCTATTGATAAATTGTTCATAAAGGGACTTTATAATATCTTTGTTCAATTCTACAATATATTTTGGCCTCATTTTAGGTTTAGGCTTAATATAGGCTTAGCCTTAGGTTAGCATTAGGACTTCAGGCTTTGGCTTAGTCTATAATAATCACAAGTGGCTTAATTTGACAACAATAGAAGTCATTTAGTTATTTAGATATATTTAGGTCTGCTAAATCAATGGATATGTGTGTGGGTATACTCACACTGTCCGCCAGGAACCCACTTGATGCCGATCCACCACAGGATGAACATTGTGCAGTGGTGATAGACGTGCAGGAAGCTGACCTGGTTAAACTTCTTCCTCACTTTCTTTCTTTCTTTACATCCATCCATCCATCCATCCATCCAAATGTCTGGCATTCGATCTATTGTTTGTTCTGTTGTTTTATCTATTGTTTCTGTCGTTTTGTCTGTTTGTTTTGTTTTTCTTTTTTTCTTTCTTTCTTTCTTTCTTTCCTTTCATACATCCGTCCATTCTGTCATTTTATGTATTCTTTCTTTCGTTTTGTCTCTGTTTTTTTTTCTTTCTTTCCATCCACCCATCCAACTGTCTGTCATTCGATCTATCGTTTGTTCTGTCATTTTATGTTCTGTCTGTCTCTCTGTCATTGTCAAGTATAAAAACAGCTATGTGTGATCTGTGAACCCCCATAACCATGGAAGCCTTGATCAAGACATACAACCTAAGCTTTGCTGAAGTCACTTTGGATATAGGTATAAAATTATTCATTGCAATTAATTTGCCGTTTAGGTATACTGGTTGCAAGAGCCATAAGAATGGAGGCGTGGCCTACAGGTGGGGAGACTCCTGACCTCATCTCTGTCCTCGCGTCACCAGGGAAACCAAGCTTGTCAATGAGGGTGACGATGCATGCCAAGACAACAGCATGAGGGAACTCTAACCGACGTCAGTGAAAGCGAATCCAGGGATTCTGCATTCCGGCCTCCTGATTACAGCTAAGCCTCGCTCTCACAGAGCTCTACTCAACTTTCTCCCTGTTCCCCACAACTGTACTCTCTGGGGTGCTAATGGTCTACAAGATCATGGCTTCAATCTGGAGTTTTTGATTGGGTTAGTCTGTGTATAATTCGCTTTATATAAAAACAATAGCATGGTATGTCTTCAATTAAGTAAACGTGTGTAAGGGAAGACAGTGTATTTCTTACCCTGACTTCATTGACGTCATTGGAGTAGTTCACGGGCTGGCAGAGGTAGCTGTATACGGCCGCTCTGGAGCCCAGAAGCAGCTAGAGGCAAAGACACATTATTCATTATTATTTTGTGCTCATGGAAAGGTTAATGGTCACAAAAGGTTAATTTGCCACAGTTCATTCCTTATGCTTTGGGAAAACATAATCTGCACAGTTCTGTTTCCCTTCATAGCATTTTTTTGTTTGTGCATGTAAAAGTTCGACTTGCGAAACAAGCAACAGACTGTCTGTGTAAGTAAAATGTGTCATTTTTTTTTTAATTTAACCAGTGATCTTGTGCCAAACATCTGTGACCTGTCTGCGGTCTGTCTGTGGTACAGTATTGCACATGTTGGGCTGAAATCACTGCTATTTTACTATTGCTATTTTTTTTTACACAGTGAGCACTTTAAAAACCTGATAATGCTAAAATGATATTGCATAATATGAATATCAGGCAGGATTGTTGCATATGTGGGAAGTTGACAAGTCCTGCAGTTAAGGTGCAAGTTAGATTTTGAACAGTATTTTATAATTAATTTTTTTATCAAAGAAATATTTTAATTTTTAAATATTTGCAAATTATATATACACTTATATATATAGATACTGTGTACATAAATAATTTACAAATATGTCTTGTTTTAAAAATAAACCACACTACATTTAGTTCGATTTCTGCTCAAAAATGCCAATAAAATAGATTTTGCACATAAATATATGCAAACAACAATTTGCCAATAGCAAAAGAAAAATAACTGAATAAAAAAAACAGCAACTGAAGATATGATACTTTTGCTTTTGTGAGTATATTTATCTTGTTTTAAGGCTGTTTAAATATCTGTATACAGGAGAACAGGAGGAAAAATACTGAAGGAAATTCGTTTTTGCAGTATATATTTACGCAAGGAACACAAACACATAAAAACGCTGTGATTTCAGTCTTCATAGTGTGAAGTTTGAAAAACTTCTATGCGGAAACTAAATGCGGAATTAATTACATTTTTTACCATACATATTGTAGTGCAACTGTATTAAGAAAGAATCCTGTCATACCAGTACTATTTTCTGGTACCATGATACTTCCATGCAACTATGCTTGTTGGGGCCTCTATAAACATGATTGGTCCTACTAGATTCAAATGGATTGACAAGGAGATCAGCAGACCTCTTTGCAGATGTAGAAGTTAAGCAGCACCATGCTGAAGTTGTACACAATGAGGGTTTTTCTGTGCTGAAAAGGCTCCCGGTTCTGCATGTAAAGGGGTCCGACCCAGAGGAAGAGCAGGTAGAGAACGCTGATCCCACATGATTGGTCCTACTAGATTCAAATGGATTGACAAGGAGATCAGCAGACCTCTTTGCAGATGTAGAAGTTAAGCAGCACCATGCTGAAGTTGTACACAATGAGGGTTTTTCTGTGCTGAAAAGGCTCCCGGTTCTGCATGTAAAGGGGTCCGACCCAGAGGAAGAGCAGGTAGAGAACGTTGATCCCCAGGGTGGGGAGCGGAGATGACATCATCGGCCATTCCTCCACGCGCTTATCTGAGATTTAAACACACGAAACCCAATTCGATTCGGAATATTTCGCTATTTTTATTTTCTTCAAAATATAAAAATACACATACCTGCTATGGTAAGGCTCCATTTATAAAACTCTACAGAGTCATTCATAAAGTGAATGACTGTCTCCATGGCTCTAGTTCTAAGATGATTATCCTGTGAAGGAACAAACAGAATAGAAGCATTTTTAAAGTGCTCGTCTTAGTCTTCTCTTTGCACAATATGAAAACTATTCCTTTAGGACAGTCGGTCTGACAATACAAAGATCATTTCACAAGACTGTAAATATTAGATTTTGATTACTCATCACATTGTGCCACATAAATGTGATATAATAAGACACTGTTACACAATAACTGAGCTAAAATATAGGTAACAGCATGCTAAAAATGTATCCTTTTGTGTGTGTTTTTTCCAGATTTATTGCGCCGAAAGGTGAACCCAAGAATATAGTGACAGATGTGTGCGTGTATTACTGAGAGTCACTATTTTAAATCAGCAACTAAACCACATTTCACACCTGAGCACAAGGTAAGCAGAATTAATATAAGTCACAGTCCACCAGTGTCATAACATAATCAGCCCGTCTTCCACGGCCCTGCTGACGCCCGTGCATTATTTAGCAGCCCTATCGTTTTGCACTGAGACAAACGGAAGGAAAACAGGATAGCTGTATACGGTCCCAAATTTAGCACACAAGCAAAAGTGTAATCTTTGCTAAAAATACTTGGGGTTACATCAGGTTAAACTTGATTGAAATTTTTAAGAGCTTTGTGGAAGAAAATAGTCAAACAAATGAAGCAAAGTATGCTTATGCAAACGTCGCAATATCATTGCATTAGATAGAATATATCAAATTAAGTGTCTTTTTCATCATTTTTGCTCAATATCTTTGAATAAGCTGGTGTTTTGGTGATTTTTAAGTGGATCTTTAAGGTCAGTTTTCCTCAAATTTACACTTTATCCCAGCAGAGTAACAACAGATGTAATGTATTCATCACAAATGAAATATATGAGGCACAAACCACAAACAAACACAGTCACACAATACTCACGTCTTCATTTTCAGTATAGGGGTGACCGGGGCTAGTTGTCACAAAGTCATAATCTCAAAATAAGCTTTTGAGTCAAAAGTCTTAAATTGTGATTTTTTAAATGAGTCCATCTTCCAAACTAAGATTCCAACATCATACTTTTGTTAAATCTAACAAGTGTACATAATAAAAAGGCACTAAAATGCATTCAGATAAGAGTTAACTATATAATGAAGGCATATTTGAACTGAAGCTTGAACTGTGTTCTCAGGACAAGAGGGTTTTTTAGGTTGGTTCAGGTCATCACATTTATATTGAGGCAAGTTGTCACGTGTTCAATGTTGTTGTTGTTGTTGTTTTCTTTACACAATTTATTAATTGCAATTTCTGTTGACCAAAACGTTGGTTTGGTATTTTCACGATTTTGCATGTCCTACTTGTTTCACAGCTAAAAAGTCAATAATTGGCTGTTTAATGGCAGTTTGTACCCCATATAGTGTGACAACATGCCCCACTATTGTGTATTGTGTGTGTTTTTCTGGACAGTAACATTGGAAATGTTCAACAGATTTCTTTCTTATCCTAAGACTAAGGTTTGTGCATATAGAATTTGACAAAAATAAACCCCACATAGAATAACATCATTAGCCCTGGCTTACTCAATACACTTTCAGAAAAAAAAAGTACAAAAGCTGTCACTGAGTATCCTTTCAAAAGATACACATTTGCAACTTTTTTGCTCCTAAAGGGTGCATATATGTGCTTAGAAAGTCCATATTTGTTCCTTTCAAAAAGATACTGTCCCGGTGATAGCTCTTGTCCCTTTTTTCTAAGATTGTATGTTGTTTTAGAATTTAAACCCTAACAAACTACTTTGTTACTAGTAGTACGTGCTTCATACCTCTTAATGGCAATCAGACCATTTGAAGTTTAGATCAAGTCTGCAACTATGTTTTGAGGCCACTTAACATGCAAGGATGGCATAAATGATTCTGCACTATAAAACGGAAGAGATGTAGCTGTTAAAATAAACATGTCGGCACGCAGTGCAAAGTTCCTGTGTGTCCCCGTTGAAGACAAAAGCCTCCGTGCGCGTGTGTCAGCAGGTTTCACCAGCATTTGTCAGTCAGGCTTTAATTCCTTTTGATCTACGAGCTTAAAGTGTAAGTACAAATGCCCATCAACCCACATCTGAGGCCGCAGCACTCAAGAGGGATGATCGCCATGAAGGTTATCACCACCAGATGCTCCAACTACAAGCTACTGAGGTCTAAAACTTTCCCAGAAACTCATAAGAAGAAAATCATAAGTTGCAACTGTCCATCTGTACCAAACAGTCAATTGTTATGAGCAAACAAACTGAGCATATATGTGACCCTGGACCACAAAACCAGTCTTAAGTGTCAATTTTTCAAAATTGAGATTTATACATCATCTGCAAGCTGAATAAATAAGCTTTCCATTGATGTATGGTTTGTTAGGGCAATATTTGGCTGAGATACAACTATTTGAATATCTTAGATAATGCTCTACTGTTGATTAATATATTTTGAATAAATAATATATTGTTTATTAGGTTAAACCAACCATTTCTGCCTACAATGAGTTTCCATGTTTACTATATATTACTTTTGAGATTAATGTTCCTTTACAGCTTCCTCAGATCAGTACATTGGGCTCTGGGTTCTTTAAAAGCATTAGTACAAGATGGTTTACTGAAGAACTAATAAAAGGCTATTTGTGCCTCTCTCAAATATTCGCCTGTTATATCAAACTCTAAAACCTTTATTTTAAACCTGCAGACAAACTTAAACGCTTTCAACAAGTTGCTACTGAATGGTTCCGTTAGGGAACATGGCTAATCTCCATTAAAGCGATTTAACTGGATCTGACATTTTGCAGTAAACTGTCATTTGCATTGAAATGCATGCACATTTCCAAGTCAGATAGATTGAAGTCTGGTACCGATGCAGAAAAATACACTCTTGACACACACAGTCTTACCTTGCGAGCGCGTGCCTATGCCGACATAAGGTGCGGTGCAGCCCAGGTAAAATATGCGAGTGAATAAATGGCTGGATTTAAATCTACAATGTGCGTTTAAACACATCAACCCCGCAGGTTTGGCAATAATTACGCGAAGGCAAACTGAATGTAACTAACGGGACTGGAGCATATGAGGCAAACGCATCTGATCAGAGTGTCTGACACTGACTGGACACCGGTCTGTCCGGCACTGAGCATGCGCAGTGGCGCCATGTGGGGCTAGTGCCCGTGCGCTCGGATAACTCCTTTGTTTAGGCGTTAAAGCGCAAATCTTATCCGGCGGGTGTCAGCAGACGCATGAGCAGCACTTATCTTAACATAACGTTAGCTCTGTTAAAATAAACATGTCGGCACGCAGTGCAAATTTCCTGTGCGTCCCCACTGAAGACAAAAGCCTCCGTGCGCGTGTGTCAGCAGGTTTCACCAGCATTTGTCAGTCAGGCTTTAATTCCTTTTGATCTACGAGCTTAAAGTGTAAGTACAAATGCCCATCAACCCACATCTGAGGCCGCAGCACTCAAGAGGGATGATCGCCATGAAGGTTATCACCACCAGATGCTCCAACTACAAGCTACTGAGGTCTAAAACTTTCCCAGAAACTCATAAGAAGAAAATCATAAGTTGCAACTGTCCATCTGTACCAAACAGTCAATTGTTATGAGCAAACAAACTGAGCATATATGTGACCCTGGACCACAAAACCAGTCTTAAGTGTCAATTTTTCAAAATTGAGATTTATACATCATCTGCAAGCTGAATAAATAAGCTTTCCATTGATGTATGGTTTGTTAGGGCAATATTTGGCTGAGATACAACTATTTGAATATCTTAGATAATGCTCTACTGTTGATTAATATATTTTGAATAAATAATATATTGTTTATTAGGTTAAACCAACCATTTCTGCCTACAATGAGTTTCCATGTTTACTATATATTACTTTTGAGATTAATGTTCCTTTACAGCTTCCTCAGATCAGTACATTGGGCTCTGGGTTCTTTAAAAGCATTAGTACAAGATGGTTTACTGAAGAACTAATAAAAGGCTATTTGTGCCTCTCTCAAATATTCGCCTGTTATATCAAACTCTAAAACCTTTATTTTAAACCTGCAGACAAACTTAAACGCTTTCAACAAGTTGCTACTGAATGGTTCCGTTAGGGAACATGGCTAATCTCCATTAAAGCGATTTAACTGGATCTGACATTTTGCAGTAAACTGTCATTTGCATTGAAATGCATGCACATTTCCAAGTCAGATAGATTGAAGTCTGGTACCGATGCAGAAAAATACACTCTTGACACACACAGTCTTACCTTGCGAGCGCGTGCCTATGCCGACATAAGGTGCGGTGCAGCCCAGGTAAAATATGCGAGTGAATAAATGGCTGGATTTAAATCTACAATGTGCGTTTAAACACATCAACCCCGCAGGTTTGGCAATAATTACGCGAAGGCAAACTGAATGTAACTAACGGGACTGGAGCATATGAGGCAAACGCATCTGATCAGAGTGTCTGACACTGACTGGACACCGGTCTGTCCGGCACTGAGCATGCGCAGTGGCGCCATGTGGGGCTAGTGCCCGTGCGCTCGGATAACTCCTTTGTTTAGGCGTTAAAGCGCAAATCTTATCCGGCGGGTGTCAGCAGACGCATGAGCAGCACTTATCTTAACATAACGTTTTATCTGTTTGGGACGCAGCAAAAATATTTCGAATACACACACACACACACAAGGTTTAATTGAATACATATTTTTTGTTTGATCATTATATTATTTTGTAGCCTATTCCATTTTTATAAATATAATTTTTTATAAATATCATTTCATTTATTATTATTATTATTATTATTATTATTATTATACATAGATAGCCTACATATTTTTCCAACATCATTATAGTGTAACGTTTAATGCAATATTTTAATAAATTACATAGTTTATTCACATCATTGTTATATTATTTGTACTCAATTTGTATAAACATAATTGTTTTCATATTTAATAATTTAATATATAATAATTGTGATATTATTATATTGTTCCGGTATTATTTTATATATATTTTTAACATAATTGTACCGTTCTGTAATTTGTTTGAATAAAATACGTGTTTCATCCAGGTTTGATATATTATTCTTTACTTTATTTGTATAAATATAACTGCTTTCATATTTAATAATTTATTATCTAATCATTATATTAGGCTATAATGTATTATTATCTAATTATTATTTTGAATACATATTTTTTCAACATCATTGTATAGTGCAGTGTTTTAGAAAATACACGTTTTATCCAGGTTTAATCATTACATTATATTATTCTGTACTCAATTTGTATAACCAATTTTTATATTTAATATTTTCATATCTAATAATTATAATATGATAAAATATTATATTATTATATTATTTAGTTCTGCATCTTATTTTATATAGGCATGTAGTCATTTTATGGTTATATTATATAATTTAATGCAGTGATTTTTTTTTCCCTGGCAGGAATATTATTCTGTATTCAATTTTTATAAATGTAATTGTTTCCATATTTAATACTTCATATACAATTAATATATTTTTTTATTTACATTATAGTAATATATTATGCTCTACATCACATTGTATACATCACACATTGGCATACAATGATTTTCATTAATGTTATATTGTATAATATAATGTTACGTAATGATAATTTCTTCCACTGATAGGCCCTCTCTCAGTCTCAATTAAATCTCCAAATCGATACATACTGAGGGATAACCTGTTGCTGAGAATATTTGATCCCACTGCGAGAACACAATGCAGACACAAGGTGGCAACAAACCCTAGAAAACAATTTCACAGATGGGGCGAAAAAGGTGTAGGTTTTTAGTAGACTGAAATAGTATATTCTTGTAAAACGTACTCCAATAATCTTTGTTTTATTTACCTTATTTTACAGTGTAACTACATGATAATCTAAACATCAATCAAAAACATCAAAATATATGTTTTTATGCAGACACGTGAATCATTATTGTATGAAAACATCAAAAACGATGAATTGTTAAATACTGTGCATTATGAAACAATATATGTTTCATATAGGCTATGTTCTTTTTTTGTAGTCACATGACCTCATCATGTTGCATGTTTATTTCAGCTAGTGGAGTCCAATTTTCTCGGAAATTAAAAGGTTATTTTTTTATTTATGAACCTATTTTTACTGTCTAATCAAATAATGGGTCAAGAAATTGCTCGTGAGCGACTGTTGTCCCATTTGCCCTTTTAGATCTGACTAGCGCCCCCCGCCACGCACACTTGATGCAAAAATCTCTGTATTAGAGTTAATCTTAATTTAAAGCGGCCACGAACTAACTTTTTTTTATTATTTTGTACTGTTCTCTTAGGTCCACTTATAATGTTATCAAGATTTTTACATCAAAAAATGATTTAGAAATAAGCTATTTTCTGTCCTGTTTTGACCCCCCTCATCAGAACGCTCCGTTTGTATTGGCGTGACGGATTGTAGACTCAGAAGTAAACTCCCACTGACTGGCTAATGGAGGACTGCTGTCATTTAAGTTAAACACACATTAATACTCCGTATATATCTAACAATCTGTATAACAGACAAAGCAATAGTGATAACATAATAAAAATAGTTACTCACACTTGTGTGGTGCGACATTACTGTCAAATCCAATATAGTCGGCACAGCATCGTCCTTCAGTTTCAATCTTTCTGAAAATTCTGCGTCGAAAAGAATCCGTGGTAAAATGAAGTGAACAATGAACCAAGTTCTTACTGACGCAGTCTGGAACTTCGTTAAAAATAAAGTTAATCAAATAAAATTAATCGTTTGATTTCTGCGTAGACCTGCGTTTGCCTCTCGTCATTTCCCTTTATGTTTGTGCAAATTGGTGGGCGGGGTTAAACAGACAGCGATATAGAAGCAGGCATTGATCTTCTGCAGAAGCTGTGTTTAGCCACACTATTACGGCATAAAGTGGCACATTCCACAAGCTGTCATTTTGGCAGATTGGCTTCAGTATAAGCTGTTTTTAGACTAAAAAGAAAGTTTTGAGTTCTGAAACTTACAGAATGTTTTATAGCACAAAGACCTCTTATTTATCAAAATCATTTTGATTTCTCAATTCATGAATCCCTTTAAAGGCAAAGTTATGACCTAGTCTTCTGAGCGAGGTTTGAAATTAAAATCTGTGTGTGCAGACGTTGAGGTGAGGAGCCAGCAGGTTGAGGGCTAATTGCATGACGGCTCAGCTCTGTTATTGAGTGTTTTTAGCGGCTCACAGGTGTTCGGTTAGCAGCGGTTGGTCTGTGATCATTCTCAGCAGGCCGCGGCGCTGCAGGAGCAGATGTGCAGTGCTTTAGAGAAGCAGGAGGTGATGAAGGAGTTCAGGCTCACCTCACACATCATCTCACCTGTGTGTCACACTGACAGCTGAACAACAGCAGTGCAACACAACACTGTACTGTACAAAACACTACACAGGTTTGCAGTATTTCATGCACAGTACATTTGTCTTTCATTTTTCCACAGTACAGTTCTTGCTTCCTCACTTTTATATTTTTGTACATTTTAATTACAATATTGGTCAGACGTTTGGGGTCTTTTTGAAAGAAATTAATACTTTTATTCTGCAAGGATGCATTCAATTGATTAAATGTGACAGTAAAGTTAGGGTGTAGGTTTGATTTAGACATTGGTTAGGACAGGGGTAGGCAAGTTCAGTCCTAGAGAGCCGCAGTCCTGCAGAGTTCAGCTCCAACCCTGAAAAAAAAAAAACTCACCTGCCTATAGCCTTAGTAATCCTGAAGACATTGATTAGCTTGTTCAGGTGTGTTTGATTAGGGTTGGAGCTGAACTCTCCAGGACTGCGGCTCTCTAGGACCAAACTTGCCTACCCCTGGTCTAGTGATACTCAATGTAAAAGAGCAAATGGGAGAAGCAGATAAGCAAAAAACACCACATTTATGATGTTACCATCATGTTACCAACTTTGTTTAATCAAAGAATTCTGAAAATAAATGTTTCACAGTTTCCACAAAAATATTAAGCAATATTAAACCGTTTTCAGCCTTGATAAAAGAAAGAAATGTTTCTTGAGTAGCAAATCAGCCTATGATGATTTCTGAAGGATCATGTTACACTGAAGACTCGGGTAATGATGCTGAAAATTCAGCAATGCATTTGTCAC